TGATAGCAGATCCTAGTTCCTAAGAAAGCTGAATTTCTTGCTTTTTTCTTGTTTTAGAATATATACAATTATTAAGCATGCTATGATAGATAAGTGTACAAAAGAATTGTATGTGAAATTGACCATTTAGTGCAATAGTTAGTGTATGATATTTGATTGATATAATTTTTAGTTATTACTACAAAATAGAATAGACTTTTGTATCAAACTAAAAAACAAAACATTGACTTAAATCTATAGACAATCTAGCTACTTTTCACCACAATTTTTCAACCATAGCCTACAATTATTCTATTTAGTAGAATGAAATTTAGTTGATTAGTTAAATAGATTATCATGTGATAATTATTCCCAATATAGTTTATGAAGTCTAGGACTTACTTTAGTCATCATGTTCTTTAAGTTGAAGTCAACAATTCTTTTAAATCATCTGAATACCTTGCTTGAAGTATCCTTCTGGAATGATTAATAGAAACGTATTATATGAAAAAAAAAGGAACCATATTCAAGACAACATGTGTAGTTATGAAACAAGATATAAGATCTTCATTAGTCAACTACTATAGACTAATTCTCCTTATGTACTTATACCCCTTGTTTCTTTTGTTCTACTCTGAACAACTTATCTTTCCTTAAAAAGGTGAGAATACTAAATCCATCCCATCACTATCAAACAGTTTTCCTATTCATCACTCATTGGTTATTTGTGACTAGAAAATAAAGCTCAGTTAATATTCTAAAATAATATGATTATATAGATACGATCCATTGCACATACAACTAAGCATATATATTGGATTCCACAATGTAAATTACTGGTTTCGTAATACAACTAATATCAGAAAATACAAATTTTGCCGTTTAATAGTCATTTACTTAAATGACATGCAACACTGCATAAGTACAAACCTCCCATGACCTTTTGTCATCACTATTTTTATAGTCTTGGGTCTTGAATTTTGGTGCATCCATTAAAAAAATTTAAGCATCATTAAAAGCATTTAAATGTATATTACACGAAAAATACTATCATGGTTGTTTACATACTCAAAGCAGTGATTGAACGTAATTTTGTGCTAGAATAACACTTGCATTCATAGTAACTCTATGCTAGAAAAATACTTGCATTTAGAGAATCTAAATGAAGGAAATCTTCATCAATCAATGGAGTTTCAACTGTTATATATAGTCATAAATCAGATGGACTATCCTAATTCTAGAATTCTCATTTGTTGCTAAAGACATAAATTTAGAAAGATTCTCATTTGCTAGTTAAGCCATGTGAAATGGCTAAAGCCATATGCCAAAGAGAACAATAGCAGTAAAAAAAGGAAAATTGCAAGATAACACATGGCTAAATAAAAAAAGGAGAATTTACGTAGAGAATAAGTGAAAAATATTCATAAATAGAATAAATTAAGGCCAAAAATGAACATTTTGACTTCGAAGAAAACTTCCATTTGGTTAGGATCCACCGAGCAACTTCTCATGAATAAGAAGCGTGCAATTGTAATAATACAAAAAGAACTAAAATGGCAGTATTACAAATATTTAATGGACAAATTTTTTTTAAAAAAATACATAAATGAAAACTAAAATAAACCAAAAAACTAAAGATGTATTCGTCTAATCCATCTTGCATGTCTTATCATATTTAGTGGTCCTATAAGGAAGCTAAACTAATAGGTGACAGTTATACTTCTTCTTGCCAACTCTGAAAAAGAGTTATTCAAACTATCATTTCGGGTATTTGAAACATATATCATAATATTATCTAAAATTCCCATATAGGAAAGACTATATTACAAAATGATATGATATTTTGCTTCCTTTTCATTTACTATACTAAACCGAAGAATACTAACATCAACAGTTGGCAGTAAGCAGAATTTGATAGGGTAAATTTTCAAGTAAACTTCTAAAAATTCAAGAAACTTAAATTGTTTAATATAATTACAAATAAGATACAAAGGATTACAAAAAAAATTAGTACAATAAGTAAGAAAGCAAATGAAAAAGCGCAAAAAAGATGACAAATCTCCAAATGCAACTAAGGGCCATTGAGCTAGAGAATCTACAAAAATTAACCAATTCATACTTAATGGTAAACAATGCAAGTTAAAAGTTTGAAAAATAAACTTTCAGTAGAAAGAAGAAAATAAAACTTCAAATCTGACGAGAATAAAATAAAAGAACCTGATATTAAAATGAATTAGGATTTTAGTGTCGAAGAATCTAATATTAGAACCTGACATTACTTATAAAATTTGATCATTAATCTTTTGTTTTGTAAGCAAAATTAGAAATTCCATATAAGTAAAGTTGAAAAAATTAAATTTAGAGAGAAATCATAATAAGAGGAAAGAAACATGAGAAATTAGACAAAATCATAAAATGCTAAGAAAGGGAAGAGAGAAACATGGAGATAAGGAAGAAATGGAATGGCAGGAAATGTGATGACTCGCAAAATTTATTATTTTAAAATCCATTTCGAGTTTATTTAAATATTTAATTGCCCATTTATTCCGAATATTATTTTCTAACATCTTTAGACCTAATTACATGGATTTATAGGTTCGTTATATTTTTAAAGTGACTTGTGTCAAAATTTAATTTTTGGAAACTCGTTAAGTGAAAATAGTGAATACGCGTTTGGAGATTATAGCTGATTTGGGGTGTAATAAGCTTGGAAAATTAGAGACTTACACAATGGTCCTAAAATAGGTAATTTTATGTTTAAGTACTCAAGTGATAGTTATTAGTACTATCGTTATAAGAAATTCTTGGAGGTCTCGCTTTATCGCGCTTAAATTGGAAATACGCGTTTTCACACGCGCGATTTAATTGAGGGACTTTAGACCCTTATTTTGGGACAATTAAGAGTGAATAATATTTATATGAATGTAAGTGCATTAGAGGTTTAGTGCACTAGTGCAACAAACTTAAGAGGAATCGAACACAAAATGCGCTCGTACGCGCACTATTTGCGGTTGACTTTGGTGCACCAAACACTTAACCTTTAAGTTACCTCTAAGGAGCTAGTCCATCAGATTTTTTTGCCCTCTCTTCCCTCTCTCATCAGCCGAGCAACACAAAGAGAAAAGAACACTCCAAGCTTCAACATTCTTCTTCAAATTCCTCCATCAAACTTCCTCCAATTCACTTCAAATTTTACCCACACTTAGTTTATTACTTGAAGATCATATTAAGCTACAAAAAGGGGGAACTTTTCACGGTTTTCTTGGCCAAGGAAAGGTGTGACGCCCCGAAAACTAGGAGTATGAGAAACCGAAAATTTTTATATATTTTCTCGACATTATTTTATTTTCTTGTCTCTAAGTTTGTTTTCTTCAATATATTAATTTTTTTATACATTTCTATAAGGAAATATAGTTTCCAAATCATTTTCTTGATCCAAGTTAGTCCACGTTAATTTTGAAGTGCGTTTTGAACGTGGGACCCGCAAGTGCGGTAAATGCATTATATTTTTGACAACTTGTTAGAATTTTGTATTAAGTGATATTATTTTACAAGGTGTTAAGATATTTGTATTGAAGAGACAAAAAGATAAGTTTTAAACCTAAAGGTGACAAGTGTCACCATCTAATTTACTCTTGACTTTGACCATTTGACTTTACCTTTACCTTTACCAAATAAATATAAAAAATTGACCAAAATAAGCTCTTATTTCAAGCTCTCTTGGCCGACTTTCTTGCTCAAAGAAAGGAAGAAAACTCTCCACTGTGATGAACTGCTGTGATTGCCTGACAAAACTGCAAAAGAGTAGTATTACTTGTTGAATATCAAATTCCTACATTCAAGTTTGTTATCAAACATATCACAACAGGTAGTTATGATAAGAGTCATGTTGTCTGTTCTCATTGGTTTTTGCTTTCCTGTCAGGTAAATTTGTCTGACTCCATTTTAATTTAGTCTAAATTACAGATGCACCCTCTTCCACACAACCCCATCCCACACTCCCCCCCCCCCCCCCCCCCAAACCAAAAAAAAATCCCTTAACACACCATTACAATAGGAAGGTGGATATCAGTGCATTCAAGCATATCATCTTCATACTAAACATCTTTGTTTGGTTGTAGACGTACATTCAAGATCATTGTAACTAGTCAAACCCGACACTTTTATCTTTTATATTATCAACTCAAGGAGGCTTGTGTAATTTGCATTCTTGTAGTCCACCTTTTGGAGAAAGGAGAAGGGAGGGGCTGCAAGAAGGTTGGTTTTATGCATACGTGTTTTTTGGCAATAGGCAACAGCGGCATAACTGCTGATGAAATGATGGTGCAGATTGTGACAATAAGAACAAGTGTTGTCGGATTTTCCTATGTTCAGTTATTGATTCACTGCACTAGCTTTTGTTTTATGTCATATTAGAACTTCAGGGCCAAAGATGATTTGATTTTTTTTTTGGTGTCCTCGGTTATTAAGCTTGGTTAGCTGTTAAAGTTTATACAATCCTTATAAAAATTTTGGTTTCCAAGTCTTAATTTATGTACACTATGAGTGAGCTTAGCTTTACATAGAGATGGAGTGCAGCATTAGTATGAATTTTTCCCACTGGATACATGCACAAGTCTAGAAATGTGTGTGCCTCTGTGTGTGTGTGTTGAGAGAGAGAGATCCATTTGAGAGTAAATTGATGGTTAAATTGGCACTACTGAGCGCAGACATGAACAACAAAGAGCAACACTTAACTTTTTTTTTTTTTTTTTTCTATTTTCCTTCACTGGGTGCAACTCCAAAGAATTGCTTTGCATTTTATCATAGCTCTGATGATCCTGTGGATGCTCGAGTGCTTGCCATGCTTCAATGTTATTATATGTGTCTTTTGACGTTCTTGTATTTCTTGGGTGAAGCCACTGCATTTATTGGTAGCTGTCTGGTAGCTATGAGCTGTAGAGATCTAAGTTGTGCATGAATTCCAAGTATATGTGATCCATTTCCATTTTGCATTTCCTTATTGGATGAAGATTTGACACTTGGAGTGCATGCATCATTCGTTAGCTAAAAATTGACTATTCTGTTTACAGCTGCTTATAAATCAGTTGGAGCCATTAACAGAGCAACAGCTATTGGCTATAAATAACTTGCAACAATCATCACAGCAGGCAGAGGATGCATTGTCACAAGGAATGGAGGCATTACAACAATCATTGGCTGAGACCCTGGCTGGTTCTCTTGGACCTTCAGGTGGTTCAACGGGGAATGTGGCTAATTACATGGGTCAAATGGCAATGGCCATGGGAAAGCTGGGAACTCTCGAGGGCTTTATTCGTCAGGTTGGTCTTTGAATAAATTTTAAACATGTTGATGGAATTCAGTTTGTCTCTTAAGCGTTTGTTTTGATTAACTTGCATTCTCCTTATTTTGCAATAAATATATGGAGTGCTTAGAGCTATAAGTACAGTGCCAATAGCATAAGTAAAAGTTGTGTTTAATAACTTAGCAAATCAGCTAAACGAGCATAAGTCAAATGTGGAACGAGATGATATTAAAAGATTCCTTCCTCAACCCCAGCACAGTGTGGAAGCATCATAGAGTTATGGAGCTGAACATGTATATTTATTACCTAAGGCTTGTAGCTGCTGAGTGTTATAAACTTGTTTTAAGTTCTTCAAATTCACGAGTCATGTTGCAATATTCAACCTGATTTTTATTATGTACTTTTATTTATGGATTGCTTAAATTTCTGGTTCTTTATCTTCTAGTCTCGTGGAATAAATATTCATGTCCGTTGTTCACTTGTTTCTTCAAATAATATGCTTAGAATGTTTCATACTTTTATTTTCTTGTTTAATTTATAGATTTGTGCAATAGTTTACAGTATCAACTTACACTTGTATTAAATTGTACCACTTTATCGTTTCTTGTGTGCTTTGGCATATGAGAAACTTTTATTTGTTATCTCATTTTAGCCCTCAGGATGGACTTTTTGCTTTAATAAAGTCCCTCTGTGCAACTGCTTCCAGAAAATTATTATTGACCCATCCAACAAAGGGCTAATGCATACTACTCATGAAAATGGGAGTGTGATTTAGGTATTTCCACACTTGTTTTTTCTGTTCTCTTACCCCTCCTATTTCTTCTTCTTTCTTGGTGTTCACCCTGCTCCTCCCCCAAATTGGCAGCCTGTATCTGCATAGCAACCTCCCATCCACCACTTTCTCCAAGCTACCTCCAACTTCAGTCTTTTCGTGCACTGTTTTACACAGCCCAAAATCTGGCCCCCTCTGAAATTGCACCTGAGACCTGCCTCTCCCTCTGATAAAGTTGTTCATTGAACCACGTCTACTCAAAAGCCAACTGCAAACATGTCCTTCCGTTTTTTGAATTACCTTGTGGTCATTTACTTTGTCTAGTTCATATTCGTAGGATTTAAGTGGCTTTGGTGCCCTGAAGACTTTAGGAAGCTTCGGGTAGCATCAATTTGTATCTTGAATCTAGAGGGGTCTAGCACTTTTCATTTTTGACGGATTAGCAGTTTCTTTTATTGACTGAGAAATAGTTTAGCATGAAAGTCATAGAGTTTAGTAGCGATTTTTGCAATGATGGAGGAGTTGCTACGACTGCTATGGGTTTTTTTTCTTGACATTTTGACCTGTGTTTTTTCTGTTATTAGGCTCTTAAACCCTTGCTATGTTTTAGTTGGAAGGATTGGTTCAATTGAAGCAATTTTCATACACAGAGGGCAAAATTGAGAAGAGAGTGTTTTTGGAGAAAGGGGGGGGGGGTTCTGAATTGACAGGATAGCATAGTTCAGAGAGCCAAATGGTATAAACAAATGGAATAAACCTCACTTTCCAATAGGTTTTTAGGTGGCACGAATAGATTATTGTAAATCATGTGGATGTCCGATGTCTTTTATTTAATTGTACTTCTTGTAATTTAGTTCTGTTGAAACAAGCAAAGCTGCAATAAATGAGCAAAGTTGTTCTTTAGAGGTCTCCATCGAATAACCAGAAGAGTCTTGATGACCTCTACTGCTTTTATTGTAATTACTGATTACTTTCAGGTGACAAATTTCACCATATCATGCCCAGTCACCAAAAAATGCTCGTCACCTGCCCCACCACCACAACACGCACCCCTCCCCCTCCCCAAAAAAAAAAACTGTGGGAGATAGGCACTGGCAGTCATCATAATCTCTACTCTATAATACATGATTGGCCTTAGATTTTGTCTGATCTACTGTGGTTCCTGTTGTTGCACCCATTCAAAGAATGCTTCCTACTTCCTGGCTACACTAGCTATCTATGTCCAGAACTGCTCCAAGTGCTTTTGCACAACAGTGACCTCTGGCGATTCAATAGCCCTGTTCTTCCATCGGTAACTGAATCTTTATCAGATGGACCTAGTATTGCAGATTTTGACAGTAAATGACATCCCTTGATCTTCTGGATTGCAGTAATTGTGAAAATTTCTTCTTTTTTTTTTTATCGATTGAAAAGAACTAAATCTTTTCACATCGCAAAACCTTGTGTAACTTACAAAAAACTTAATAGGAGAGAGGTCATTGCAATTGAAGAAATGGGGAAATTTATTAGGGAAATTCGACAAGGTGTTAAATTGAATTATAGATGAGTTTTGTTGGATTGGAAATATGTAAGGTCTGCATAAGTGTAACAATTTTTATGGATGTTAATGTGATGTATTAATTGGGATTTGATATTGCTTGTTTCTTGTTACTATGCCTTGTTTGAGTGTCATAGTTTACTTATTCTTCTTAAGAACAATGTGGAAGCAATTGGATCGTGTTGAGATTCTAGTTGTGAGTTTTGTTTTCTATGCTGGTGAATTTATGTATGCACCTTTTAAATCTCAGGCTGACAATTTGCGGCAGCAGACGTTGCAGCAAATGCATCGGATATTGACAACTCGGCAATCTGCTCGGCTCTACTTGCAATCAGTGACTATTTTTCTCGGCTGCGAGCACTTAGTTCCCTGTGGCTTGCTCGCCCGAGAGAGTAAGATCTACAATCTCACTTTCTGGTACTGATTTGAAAGCAGAGTAGATCTTTCCTAGTGATTTATGTCTATCAAGATTCTCCCTGGTGCATATATTGGATTATTTCCTTTTTTTTGTCAAAAACTCTGGAAGGGAGCTAGCTATTCATCTCTACAAGCTTGTAAGAATGAGTTTGAAAAATTTTTCCTTTTCCATTGGGTAAAGTTAACATGGTCAGTGAAGTTTTAGAGTCTGTAGCATATCAGTTATGTAATCAAGGTTAGTCAAAGCGGTAACTGTAATCTATCTGGGTACTGTGCCAGAGTGCTGACCTTAATTGAGTATTGCCATTAAGACTAACTGGCACTTTTGCATTGCATTCTCCTTCTTGGTATTCTATGCATGCTCATTTTCTGTCTGGACTGCAGGGTACTTGGTCATTGTTCGTTTTGGCATAATTTGAGCAATTGCGGCTGATTCCTTCAGATTATATGCTTTTAACATCTTTTCAAAGTTTAGTCTGCCCCTTTGAAATTGCCTGAAATGATGGTTTATAATCGCTCTCTTTCAGGCCTAGTTGATAGGAAAGAAGTGAAAGTTGTGAAAGAAAGGTAGCGGAGATCCCCATCTCTCCTACGAAGTTTCCCATGTGAAAGAAAATGTTCCCTTATTCTATTGGGATAATTTGAGAAACCTCCCCTGAGGTTTCTAATAATTTCACTTGGCTCCCCTAAGGTTTTAAAAATTACACTCACCTCCCTTGTCCATTTAAAATGATAATACTAACCTTAATATTTATAATAAAACTCTTTTGTTGTCATGTTTATGCTAAGATGGATTTTATAATTTTTTTACCATTTTCTTTCTTATTCATTTTTCTTATATTCCATTACAAGTATAGAAGAATTATCAATATTGTCCCTACTATCTATTCAAATTAAACATTAAACTAGTAATATTTTTTGATAATTTTTAGTATCCTCCAATTTTTTTGTAGCTTTTTTTGTTTTGTATCAAAATCAAGGATAACTCAACAATGATTAAAAACAAATTGTTCAAAATCATTACCAGATTATGATAGTTCCACTACTAAATAAGTCCATAAATTTTTTATTAAAAAAATAGTTCATAAATTTTAAAAGAAACAAAATAGCACTTTCTTCTCTATTTTAAAAAGAATTTATATACCCAATATAGTACTATGAAAAATATCAGATTATAACCAAAGATTTATTGTTATAACTGATTATTAAATAATAAATATTAGTATGAAAAAAACGACACTTTTTTTGTTTAGAAGAACAAATTGAACTTTGCAAGATAAGAGCATGTTAGGGTATTCATTAAATTTTTTACTCTATTTTAAAGTTTGGTTACCAAAGTGCTAAATTAAGGGAGATAAGTGTAATTTTCAATACAACAAGCGGGAACTAAGTGAAATAGTAAGATACCTCAAGGGAGTTTGAAATTATCCCTATTTTAGGATAATTTTAGGATAATTTTAGAAACCTCCCCTGAGGTTTCTAATAGTTTCACTGACACTCTTTTAACTTTAAAAAATATCACTTGCCTTCCTATTTTTAATTTCTTGTAACATTATTAACCCATTTTAAAATATATTATTTAAAAATTCATTTTTGGATAGAGAAGATGTTTTCATTTCAAAAGGACCCTTTGTTATCTATTTTGTTTTTCAAAATTGAAAGTATGTAACAGAAGGTTGAAAATAAAGACAAACCATGCAAATATATAATGTTGATGGAATTAATATAACAGTGATATTTTAATGTACAAAAAAATGGTTTAAGAACATATTCAAAGTGTTTTCAAGTAAAAAATGATTATTCCATTATTATAAGTTTTCGATCAATTTGAGTAGTTTTTCAAATGTTTAGAATTTTCAAAATTTTCTGAAATTGTTGTCTGAATTGATGGCTTCAAAAAGAAAAAGACCATTGTTTATGTTTATAAACTCATTTGAGGTTTTATCAAAGACCAAAAATTATTTTCTTAATTTGTAAGTGTTTGTGCATGAATTTTAAGGATTTATGAATGGAGTACAAGCCTTTTGAAATTTCTATTTTTTTTATCCAAATTAATGGCTTGAAAACTTGAAAAAATAAAACTTTTTGAAAGATGTAGGTTAATTAGTCCTTGATTTTAATGATTAATGAAACAAAATGATGGTTTAAACTAATATTTTAAATGATTTTTGTCATTAGTACAGGTGCTCAAACAATTGGCAAAGTAAAGGAAGCAAAACAATAAGGAATAAAGTTTTTTCATTGAGCATCGGATGCACACCAAATGGATCGGACGTCCACCAAATGGATCAGACATCCGAAAGATAAAGTGAAAATTGACCCTAATGATTGGACAATGGGCCAGATGCATAGCTGAACTATCAGACATCCAAAATTTTAAAAGGAAATTTTGGAGCTCTCTATTTCTGCCGGACGCATCTTTTGGATGTTATATCGAATGTTCAAAATTCCTAACAAAAACTCACTCAACATACTTTCAAACGTAGTGTTGGAATAGCTATTGATAGTTTATTTTTTTTTGGAAGCTAAGCTAGTTCCACCTTGAGAGAATACACCTTGAGAGAATTAGGGTTCATACGCCGCCATTGTGATCTTATGGCTGCATGTCCCTCCTCCGCTGTGGGGGAGGGTGTACCGCCTTCGGCAAATACAAAGAATGGCCTTCGTTCGTTTGCGGAGGTGGTTTCGGCAAAGCAGAATCTGGGTTCCAGTCCAAGTCATTCGCTTCCCTTTTGTCTCCTGCCGCTAGAGAAACAAGGGTTCAGGCTGTTACGTCTACTCATAGAGGGGAGCCAGCAGTGTGTTTTTCCGTGGAAGATATCAAAAGGGTTGCGGTCCCTTTCCAGTTTTCATTGGTGGGGAAGTTCTCTAGGGGTCGGCCTTCGATGGAGGACCTGTGTAAATTTTTTCGTGCACTAGATTTGAAAGACGATTTCTCGTTGGGCTGATGGATCGTAGGTATATTCTTATCAAGTTATCAAACGAGGCAGATTTTTATCGTATCTGGTCGCGCAATATCTGGTATATTCAGGATGTTCCAATGAGAATTTTTAAGTGGTCGACGGATTTTCATGTGGACAGGGAATCCTCGGTTGTGCCAGTCTGGTTTTCCCTGCCTAAGCTGCCGGTCCATCTCTTCCACAAGGAGTGTTTATTCTCCATTGTGGCATGCCTGGGCAGGCCGTTGTGCGTGGATTCGGCTACTGCTGTGGGTTCGCAGCCAAGCGTAGCAAGGGTGTGTGTTGAGGTGGATCTGCAGAGGGAGATTCCAGGAAGGGTCTGGATTTCAGTGGGGGATAGGATGGGCTTTTGGCAGGTTTTGATGGCAGAAAATCTCCCAAAGTATTGCGGGTTCTGCTTACACCAGGGTCACAACGAGGCTGATTGCAGGCTTAAGCATCCTGGGCCACATCCTGACCAGATGGGTCGCTCGCAGGTAGGGAGGACATTGCATGGAGTGGGCACAGCTTTGGGCAAGGGAGAGTCTGAAGGTGGTGCGCAGTGGCGGTGGGGGAGCATGGTAGTGAGGCGGCTAAGAATGCTGTGGGTCGGACGCAAGTGTTGGTGGAGACAGCGACAGCAGTGGATCCATCATCAGCCGAGGCGCAGGTGAGTGCGGGTGCGGAGGACTATGTCCACAGACCAGGCAGTGGGCATGGAAGGGTCAGGTACAGTGTGGGGGCCGCCCCTGAGGGGGGAGTTGTAACACAGGAGGAGGCGGGGGAGGTCGCAGCTACTGATCTAGCAAGGGGCATGGTGGGGGCGATGAGCAATGGGGAAAGCCGTGACTTGGTTGACGTCAACCGTTCTGTGATGGAGACTTGGGTGGAGGAGGCAATGGAGAGAGCTGCTGACAGGGTTCTGCAAGACATGGCTGATCGTGTCATGGCAGAGGATTCGGCGGCAGTGGAACGTAGTGAGCAGCAGGGGGAGTTACTGCTAGAGCACAGCGAGGCCGAGCATATCCAGCAGCCACTAATGGTAACTACGGACAGGTTGGATGAGCAAATGGATGTTGAAGCGGTTGAAGGGAGGGTTTTTGAGCTTCCCCAGATTGCAGGGGATCTGTCACCAAGGATGGTTGTAGTGCCTGAGCCCAGCTCGGCATCTTTATTTGTGGAGCTGAACATTGAAAATCCAGGTGATGCAGGGAAGGGGTTCAGACCGGCAAAGGGACGGGGAGCTAGGGTCCGGATCCCGTCAGACAGGCAGCTCAGGTCAGCAACTTGTCCTCCAAATTCTTCCCATTGTCTTCATCATGATTAATGTCCTTATATGGAATATTAGAGGGGTTTCTAGAAGCCCTAACCTACGTAGATTAATTCGCTTAGTGAGAACACATGGCATTTCAGTGGTAGCTATATCTGAACCTAAAATGAATGTTGCACGTGCCGAGAGCATACGGATGCGTCTAGCTTTTGATTCGGTTGTGGTCAACCAGTCAGGGGATCTTTGGATTTTCTTTAATGGCCCTTTTGGTGTGTCAATTGTGGGGATTCTACTCAGCATATCTCATTAGCTGTACATCACCCGTGGTTGCTAGAGCCCTTGTTTTTTTCTTTCGTCCACGCAAGGTGTTCTATGGTGGAACGGCGGGAGCTGTGGGCTAGTTTACTAAGGGATAAACCCCGGGCAGCCCCATGGTGCATTGGGGGAGACTTTAACGTCATAACGGCATCTCACGAAAAGCGTGGAGGTCGGCCTTTTGCCATGTCTGACGGGGTGGAGTTTTTGTCGTTTATGGAGGAGGCAGGGGTTTTTGATGCTGGCTTCTCGGGTTCAAGCTATACATGGTGCAACAATAGGAGGGGCGAGCACGGATATGGAAACGGTTTGATAGGCTAGTATTGAATGAGGAATGCCTTGGGGTGGCTCCAGCCGTGTCAGTTGTTCACCTTGCTAGGCACCCGTCAGATCATTCTCCTCTAAAGATTTCATTCCGTTCTAGGCTTGATAATAAACCACGGCCATTTCGGTTCTTGAACATGTGGACAGAAAGGACGGACTTGTTAGAGGTGATTCGAGAGGCCTGGGAGAGGGACTTCAGGGATCCCCCTTGCGGATCTTTTGTGCAAAATTGATGGCGGTGAGGAGGAGTATTCAGAGATGGAATAGGGAGGTCTTTGGTAATATCTTTGATGCGGTCAAGAGAGCGGAGGCAGGGCTCCTAAGAGCCGAGGGAGTTGTTGAGACTGATGCCACTGAGGAAGCACAGATGGAGTTACACAGGGCCCAAGCGGAGCTAAGACGAGCACTAGCAGTGGAGGAGCAATTATGGCACCAGAAGGCCAGGGTACGATGGTTACAGCATGGGGACCAGAACTCTAAGTATTTTCATGCGTTAGTAAAGCAGAGGCGGGTGCAAGGGTTGATACATAGGGTGAGGAAGGCTGATGGAGTATGGGTGGAGGATGATGTTGACATTGCAACCGAGGCGGTTGCATATTTCACTAGTTTGTTCTCGGGTGAAGCTACGTCTCAATCGGAAGGATTGCTCAACTTGATCCCACAGTTGATAACGGAGGAGGACAATGGGGTTTTAGAAGAGGTTCCCACCATGGAAGAAATTAGACGAGTGGTATTCTCCATGGATGGGGAGAGTGCTGCGGGCCCGGATGGCTTCACAGGGAAGTTCTTCACCTTCGCTTGGACGTCATTGCTCAGGATATCTACAGGGCGGTTGGGAGTTTCTTTTGTGGGGCGGAGATGCCTCGTTTCATTACCTCTACATCCATAGTGCTAATTCCCAAGGTTCCTAATCCCCAAGATTTCTCGAAGTTTCGGCCCATCAGTCTGTGTAATTTTTTCAATAAGGTGATTTCCAGGATCCTGGTGGACCGGATTGCTCCGATTTTACCAAGAATCATCTCTCCCCAACAAACAGGCTTTGTCCAAGGGCGTAATATCACGGAAAACTATTTGTTGGCCCAGGAGCTAATCTCGGGCATGGGAAAAAGTCAAGGAGGGGAAATATAGTGCTAAAATTGGATATGACAAAAGCCTATGATCGAATGTCTTGGGTACACATTACTTCGGTTTTGCGGAAGTTTGGGTTTGGGGAAAGGTTTATTGACATAGTATGGCGTCTTCTGGCAAATGTTTGGTTCTCAGTGATCATCAACGGGGCGTCCCACGGATTCTTTAAGTCTAGCAGGGGTCTTAGGCAAGGGGATCCTCTGTCTCCTGTATTGTTTGTTATTGGAGCAGAGACGTTATCCAGGGGTTTGAATAACCTAGCTCAACAGAAGGGTTATTTGGGGTTTCGGGTTTCGAGGGCTTGTCCCAGAGTCACGCACCTTGCTTTTGCAGATGATGTAATGATTTTTACAAATGGGGCTACTGCGGGGTTAAAGGGCGTCATGCACGTTTTAGGGGCATATCAGCAGTCCTCCGGCCAACTGGTGAATACGCAAAAGAGTGGCTATTTAGTTCATCCGTCGTTGACCCCAAGCCGCAGAAGGGTGATTGAAAGGGTCACGCAGTTCACACATCAGGAATTCCCTCTCCGATATCTTGGCTTTCCCTTATATATTGGACGGTGTAAGACATCATATTTTGGGGACGTAGTTCAGGTGCTCTTAAACAAAATTCTGACCTGGAAATCCAGGTTTTTGTCCACGGGGGGAAAGTTAACCTTGATTCGGCATGTGCTTTTGTCTGTTCCGGTCCACCTGCTCTCGGCTGCGGTGTTACCTGCTTCGCTTTTCAGATTGGTGGAAAAGGTGTGCGCGAACTTCCTATGGGGTGCTTCGGACGAAGGCACGAGGTATCACTGGATTGGGTGGTCTCAATTATGCTACCCGGTTGAGGAGGGAGGAGTGGGTCTCAGAAGGTTACGTGACAGTTATATGGCTTTTTCTTGTAAATTGTGGTGGCAGTTTAGGGCCGGATCATCACTCTGGGCGAGCTTTATGCGTGCTAAATATTGTCGAGACCTCCATCCGTGCGAGGTGGAGCTGAGTCGTCACGACTCCGGCACTTGGCGGAGAATGGTAAACATTAGTAGGCAAGCAGAATTTTCTGTGAGTTGGCGGATCTAGGGGGGTCTTGCCATTTTTGGTTTGATAACTGGATTGGGACAGGCGCTTTGTTTCATAAGGCTACGGTGGCCCCAACCCTCTCCTTTACTGACTTCATCGTTAACGGAAAGTGGAGCTCAAGTTTACTCTCCCTAGCTCTTCCCCCTGACTTAGTTCCTTCTGTTGTATCACTCCCGATCCCTTACGGTGGTCGAGCGGATGAGCCCATATGGAGATTGACTTCGTCTGGCGAATTTTCAGTGGCTTCGGCTTTCGAGGAGGTTCGACAGGCTCGTTGCCCTTCTTTCGTCCATTCTCATCTCTGGCATCCTCGCATCCCGTTGAAAATCTCTCTCTTCATGCTGCGGTTGTTGTTGGGGAGGTTGCCACTCCCTGATGTGTTGTGTAAAATGGGGTTTCAGATGAGGCCATCTAAATGTTGGTGCTGCCCGGAGGGAGCGTGCGAGACGGTGGAACATGCATTTTCTGAGGGGCAGGCGGCTAAGGAGGTGTGGTCCTATTTTACTGGTTTGTGCGATATTATGTATGGCGGGTCGTCTTTGCGGGCGAGGGTCGTGGCTTGGTGGATGTCGTCTCCGTGTTCAGCATACAGGCGGCTTATCTTCAGGTTGCTGCCGAGTTTCATTTGCTGGCACATTTGGAGGGCGCGGAACGCATCGATGTTTGAAGGGGTCCGGATGCACTCAAAAACCATTTGTTAAGCCGTTTCGTCCGACATAAGGTTAGCGATGGAGATTCATTTTCATAAGAGGCTTGGTTGTCTCTCATTTCCTCAGCTCTACGAGTTGTCCAGTAATCCAGCCAGTAGAGTTAGCTTTCACATAGTGCGGTGGTCGGCAAGGCCAGGCTGTTTAATTCTGAATACGGACGGGTGCTCCAAGGGTAACCCAGGGTGTAGTGGGGGAGGTGGTATCTTGCGTGACGCTTCTGGGGGGCCTATCCTGGCTTTCTCGGCTTTCTTCGGCATACGATCGAGTTTACATGCGGAAGCCCTCGCAATGCTAACCGGCCTTCGGATGTGTGTGAAGCAAGGGTTTGTAACAGTAGATCTTCAATCGGATTCTCGGGTGTTAGTGGGGATTATCCAGCGTCGCTTCCGGTGTCCGTGGCAGATCCGGCCTGAGATAGAGCAAATCTGGGACTTGGCAGCTACCGGAGTGAGAGTCTCTCATTGCTACAGAGAAGCCAACCGGGTGGCGGATATTCTGGCCAATGTGGGTGTTTCTCACCCACAGCAGGGTTACATTATGTATGATAGCACTAGCATAATTTCGAAGTTAGCGAAGGGGGAGATTCGTTTAGACAAGCTAGGCATGTCTTCTGTTAGAAGGATAGTAAGGGAGGTGGAGCGGTCAGACCGGGTGCGGGACTCTGTGTAATTCTGATTATGGTTTTGCTTCATCAATAATAATTCAGCTATTCTTATAAAAAAAAAACGTAGTGTTGGACAAAGAGCAATTAGATTGGACATCCGACACACAGGATTGGACGTCCAAACAAGTCCAACGACTAGTTTTTAATAGCTAGTTTTTTTGACCATTAGAAAGACTTTTAGGGCAAATTTTTAATACCTATAAATACTCCTAAGTATGAGAAAAAGAGAGACTTTTGCCTACACAAAATACAAGCTTTCAAGAGTGATATTTTGGTAGAAATGTAGTTTAGTTATTGTATAGATGTGAAAAAAGTGGGTTTTGTGAGATTTTTGAAAGAGGAGAAGTAAAACCTTTCGTGAAAGTGACCCTCACTTGTAAAGTAGTTCCTAATTGGTTGGATAAATTTTAAATTGTAGTTAGTTGAGTGTAAATTAGGAGAATTGTAAAATTCACTGGCTAAACTTAAGGCTTTTAGGGTGAGGAAGGAGTGAGCTTTTACTTGTACAAGTTAGTTAATATTACCATCAATTGAAGAAGCTATCAAGTTGATTCAACTTCAAATTTGGCGAAACTTGGAAGTATGTTGGTTTGCATTTTTGTCTTTTACCTTTTCTTTTTACTACTTAATTGTGCAATCTGTATTGAGTTTTCTTGAATTAATTGAATCATTTGTTATATCATCATGAGTTTTATATGAAACATTTTTATTGGGTGAATATTTGCATTACTTTCTTGATTGCAAACAACCTAATTTACCCCTATTTTAGATTTTTTGAGCCTTATAATTGGTATCAGAATTTGGTCTCATAGAGGTTAAATTCAATCAACTTAGGAGTAAAGATGGCAACCAATAATGTTTTATATTAAGATAGTCAATCTATTGTTATACCATTTATGTTTAGCGGCTCGCATTTTAGTAGTTAGAAACAAAGAATAGAAGTTTTCTTGCAATCTATTGATATTGAGTTTTTGTATACTACTATTGATGGTCTGTATGAAATTAAAAATAATTCATGCTACAACAAATTCGAGTATATTAAAAACTAGGCAGGAATTAGATGAAAATAATAAAATATATCTTTCTGTGAATGTTAAGACCGTGAATGTGTTATATAATACTTTAGATACTTATCAATCTAGTAGGATTAAAAGTTGTAAATGGGCCGAGGAAATTTGGGATAAATTGTGTGAAATACATGAAGGTAGTCAAGATATTAGAGATGAAATAAATTTTTACTTTGCTAAATATGATTCTTTTAAAATGGAACTTCGTGAGAATGTCAATAAGATGTATTGTAGATTTAGTGATATTAAAGATCTTGAATTGCTTGATAAATAATATTCTTTGGGTGAGAAAAATAGAAAGATTATGAATGCTTTATCTAAAGAATAGGAAACCAAGATTACGGTCATAGAGGAAGCTAAAATTTTGAATTATATGCCCATTGATTCTCTTGTCAACTCGCTAACCTCTTATGAGTTGAAAATAAAATCAAAAGTGCAAGATGAAGAAGAAGTTAGAGTCAAGAGAGGTAATGCACTTAAAACTTCTTAAGAAGAAGAGGATCTACTCTCAATTGATGGTAAAGATGTGAAATTTAATGAAAGTGATATAACTCCTATGACCAAAACCATCAAGAAACTCTTTAACAATAAGAAAACATTTAGAAGAGGTGGACCAAACAATAACTAATTCTCAAATTTCACCAAAGCAAGAGAATATAGAAGACAAAACATCAACAACTTCCAAATCACATGGAATGATTGCAATTCGGATGGTGAAATTGAAGAAGAATATGAAAAGGCCTAAATAGCATTGATAGCTATTAGAACTGATGGGGTAATTTCTAACTATTCCTCTAATGATGAAAATGATGATGATGTGTGACGACCCCACCTCCCCCTAAGGCATACCAAAGGGTTCGGCGAACCGCCTGCCCAACTCTCACCAGGACTCACTCACTCGTATCTTATGCATACATCCATAGACAAGAAATAACATCGCAATTCAAACTTGTAATATACATCGATGCACAAATCCAGATACAAAACTTCTATACATCCAAAGTACTTCTAAGTGTATACAATCCAAGTACAAAGCATCCTAAGCGAGTGATAGCGCGAGTATAAATCAAAAGTCAAAACAACTAGTCTAAGCTAGTTTGTACACGTCTCACGCCTCGCTCGTACCCCTGTAAGGAAAACAAAACTAAAGGAGTGAGCTAAAGCTCGGTAAGGTTCCAAATATCAAATTGTCCATCAAATAAAGTAAAAGTAGCATAATAGTAAAATAGCGAGCAAATCAAGTCAAGAATTGAGTAATAACACTTCATATAGCCAAAGAACAAATATTTCACATTTCTTATGTAAGGATACAGTTGCTCATATAGATAAAACGTCATTTAAGAACTTGAAATCAACTAGGGTTCATGTTTCTTTCAAAGAAAATCAAGTAATTGAAACTCATTTGGGGAATATTCATAAAACTCATGCTCGCTCTTAAAACTTTGAAACTTCGAAGCGATTAAATTTTGAAATTCCCATTTGAGTCGAAAAGATGAGGAAAACGTATTTCTATTAGTCGTTACTTTTATTTTTCCAAGGGTACAAGGTTCGACTGAATTCTAACTTATATACCTCTATGAGCAAAGACTTGAATACCCTAGATGATTCGAGTTAGAGTCGTCCTCAAACCCTTACTCAAGTCGTGAGTACATCTACCTAACTTTCGAGTGAAAATTTAGGCAGCACGCTTAATTTCGGAGTTCTGATGGGATCCGGTGCATTAGTGCTGGTATGATCGCACCCATGTCAAGATATGTAAACTATGGAATATACATAATGCATGAAGACATAATCTAACAAAATTTGAAGGAGAAATGACCCAAAAATTGCAGCTTTTCATCATCGGGTAGCATGTAGTAACTTTGAACAGAATTTTCCAGCTTTGAAGAACTTTTATCAGTGATTTCATTCCTTTCTCAGTTCTAATTCATTCTAAGACATTATAAACCAAAGGTAGAAGGAAAATAAAGAAAAACTTAGCTATTTACCTCTTGTTCCTCACGATTGTGGGCTGGAAATTTTGTGCCTTCACTCTCTCGATTTTTCTTAGCTAGAAGAGTTGAAGTTTTCCTTATTCTTGGCTGATGTACATGGTTGAAGAATGAAGAAAGTCCCTAGTTTACTCTTGTGGCTTTCTCTCAGTTTTTTTTTCTCGGTTTTTTTTTAGCAATCGAAGGAGGAGGATGAATTGGATTCTTCCTATCTCTCTCTCTCGGTTGTTTGGAGGGGAAGAAAGAATGAAGTTGTTTTCTCTCTTTCTCTCGGCTATAAGGGGTTGGTTTTAAGACTTTGTCTTGGTCAAATATGTTCGGTCAAAAATTGTGGCTGATCATGCAATGAGCAAATTATCTCTCTCTCTCTCTCTCGGTTGAAGGCTGGTCTAGGGAGCTATTGGTCAAGATATTTTTGAGTCACAAGAGTTTTAGTCAAAACTTTATTTGACAAATGGACTAATGGCACAATTACAAATTAAGTCTATCCCTTTATCAATAATTCACCTTAATATCTATCTCGCATCTCATTAACTCTTAACATCTTGTAGTACAATGACCCTTTTGTACAAATTTCCCTCTAGTTCACAAAATTTATCGCACCTACCTCGCTAGTTGGACTAATTGGTTTATTACCCCAAGAAGACCAACGTGCAAAAAACATTGAATGAGGCAATAGACGAAAAATCACGAGTCAATCGTTAGATTAACCAAAGATTCAAGGCAATTAGATGAGAATACAATATATATATATATATATATATATATATATATATATATATATATATAATTTTAAGAAATATAAAATATAAATATAATTATATTAGTAATGCTTGGACAGGTGTGAAGGCAAGTATCTTCCACGTTTTCTTTTCTTTTCTTTTTCTTTCTTTTTTTTTCTTCTAATACCACAACATATTCTAAATAATACTAACGTTTTATGGTGTAAATGATATAATCCTCCTAAGATGTATATTGACTCACTCATTTATTAAAGGGACAATTTAGACCTATAAATCATTCAATAACAAAAAGAAAATAAAGTGGGACATGCAATAAATTTTAAATAACACATGAAAATTTTCTTACGTTCATCTAGTAGATTCTCACACATTTAACTTTAAGAAAAACTTATTAGACATGTACTTATTGAGCTATATAATATATGTTATGTGTCTAGTAATATTTGCAAATGACATAAATTATGATATGCATGCCATATATTTATTTAATTCATAAAATTTTCTACTCTATTCTAGGAAATTTTCT